ACACTGATTGCAGCAGCTGCAGGCCGGGGGAGGCCATGGAGCTGGACAGCCACCACGCCCACACAACAGCGGCAAAGCGGCAAAACATCCCCAAGGAGGCGGGCTGGAAAGATGGGGAAACCAGCCACCACAGCTACCCTTAAGCGGACGCCTCCAGGCGGCTACCTGGCTCTACCAGTCTACCAGGTTATCCTGGTGCGAAGTCCCGTACACGGGGGACGCGTCGTCGGGATGGTTTTCGGGCCCGGGGGAACCCAAGGACCTCTCCTCCAGGCCCATAGGCGCCTCCCAATCCACGGGAGATAATTTGTATCCCCTTCCACGGCGACGAAGACGTCCAAATCGCGGCTTGGACGGTTGTAGGTTGTGGCTGACCATCGGATGATGCGGCGGGGGTGGAAGGATCACTTGGAGAGACAAGGGCTGCTGGCCAACAGTTTAGCAGTAGAAACATGCAAAAGTAGGGGCTGAACCTTCATGCCTGGTGGGGGAAGCCTTGGCAAGCTTGGACTGCCCCAGATGGGTTTAACAACAGAGCTCGGATGATGAACGGGGCCGAACATAACGTGGCGTCGAGTCTTTTTTAGACTCTGTCTTGGTGGGAGGTCTTTGGGGAGCGAAAGCCAACACACTCTGACCTGGCAAGTAGTTGGGGGGGCCCGGTGTTCCTGCTTTACGCGTCTGCCGATGGAGGCGGTTGGCGGGCCCAGCCGGAACGGAAGCCAGGGCGGCTCGGAGTGCTCCTCCACACCCTACGACAGCGTCGCAAGGGCTGGGTCTGAATGTGAGAAGAACAGCAACTTCCTCTCTGTTGCTGGAAACAGGTTGGCTTGAAAACCCATGGCACAATTAAAAGGTGAAATACCTGTGGCTGCATTTGCAGGGAGTTGTGGGCATACTTCGATCCATGGCCAGATGCTGCGGCCCACCATGAAGGGAGGGGTTCCTGGAAAGCCACACAGCGGGAGAAGCCTGCCCTCCCAGGTCCTGGTTTGGGGGCCCGTCTCCGTTTGGCCGGTTTGTCTTGAGCCGATGGAATAAACCCGACGCACAGCTCACCGGATAGCTACACACAGAGACAACCAGACAGAAGACTTTCCAAACGTGGGGAAATGAACTGGGGGACCCCGGGTCCAGAAACGATGGTCGGTGGGGATTCCATGCTTAGGTCGAACAACGTTGGGTTGACCAGAAGATCTGCAGCCTCTCGCGGCTGCTGGGAAGCTTGGGGCGCGAGAGCAACAAAGTGTTACCATCTTTGGGAAATCTGTCCCACAATAGTTAGGATGATGGTAGTTACCTTGGTGAGAGTGGAAGCCAGTAACAAAATCCGAAGGCCACATGCGACCGGGAATGGGGTACTAGGTACTGGCAGCGGGCGAAGCCAGGACCAGCAGGGGAGGTTGGGTGCGAGGACTTGGGCGGGGCACATACTGTACAGGCCAAGCAACAAAGACCCTTGGTGTCTTGAGCCATGGAAGGGGCCACCAGAACCGCCTGTCTGAGGATTTAAACAGTGGCGATGGAACCAGGATGGACAGCGAGCAGACGGGAGGCGTGTGCCCACTGCCCAGTACCTTGTGGAGCCGGACAGAGCATAGGCCCACAAAGGAGATTATGTAGCTGGGCAGTTACCTTGGGTTAGGCTGCGCCTGCTGAGCCTCCTGTAAAACAAGTGACTCAATCTCCCAAGTAACAGCCGCCTATCCACGCAGGAGCAAAAACAGGATGGTGTCTGGACCGGCCAGCTGGTTTCTTTCGGAAGCAAACTGCGGAGGGAGAGAGCTTTCCGGCTTGGAGGTTCCGTGCACCGCTGGGCGGTAGGTAAGGGTGGAATGAGAAGCGACCGACAATACAGAGGGGCCCATCGAAGCCTGACGGGGAGTTAAAGGCGCTTGGCAGTTTGGATGTAAGCCAAGTTTTTTGTGGGCTCTGGTCCATACAATAAAAGGTAGCCAGCTCCCTCCAGCCAGTGTCTCCACTCCTCTTAGGGCAAGTTTTGAACAGGCCAGCAGCCTCTCTGCTTACCCCACGTTTCATAGTTTTTCTCAGCCTGGAGGGTTGAGGCCGCGGAGAAAAAATGCCACAGGTGTATTTTTGGTCTCTTTCCGAGGCTGGAAAGAACTGCGCCTTACCGCGTTTGGAGGCATCAACCTCCACAGACGATACTGCGAGTAAGGAATCAGGGCGTGGATGAGCACAGGGCCAGTTGGTGAAGGGGGAGTCTTCTTTAGCTCCGAGAAGGCTGCATCGCCTTCTGGGGATCAGGAAAAGCCAGTTGTTAGGGGAAGTGAGTCTGCCGTTAAAGCGGGGCCCGCCACTCTGGCTGTAGTCTCTGAATGAAGCGCCGCAGTAGAAATTTGGCCGAAACCAGAAACTGTTTGAAGCTGTTTTCACTGAGGTTTGTTTTTTTGGCCACCCTGCCACTGGCTTGGATCTTTCAGGGGCTCGCGCCCTAATCTTCCTCCCTCAACGATGTAGCCCCAGGAATGAGACTGATGTTTGGACATGCGAATGCGCATTTCTCCGCCTTCACAAAGAGGTTCTGTTTTCCAGGAAGTCCTCTGCAGCACGCTGGGGGCCTGACCGATCGGATAATGTGTTCCTCCTGGTTAACGAGAGATATAAGGATGTCATCCAATAGACGAAAAGCCTGCACCGCGTTGAGGACCCATGTCGCTCCGGCCCCTCGGCCAGCCTTGCTTGCACTTGAGCTTGGACCATCCCCTCCCAACCTGTCTCGCTGAGCACCGCACCTCCCCACCCAACCGGCTGACGGACTTGCCGGGCCCCCTCATCCTCCAGTTGTTACCTGCAAGAACCACCGTCATTTCCGAAATCATCCTCCGCTACCCCTCATTAGATACGCTCCTTCTATGAAAAACATTCATTTGCATGCTTCCTCAAGTATTTCTCAAACCGTACCTCGTCCCCCCCACCCCCCCCCATACACGCCCGTTGTAACATATACTCCAAGAGGTTTCTGTAAAGTGTCTGAGGACAACTATGCTATGGAATTGCTATACAGCTAGGAACGGAATTTATTTTACACCTCATTTAAATCTAGACCCTGGTCATGAATCTTTAGGTAAAACACGTATTTTGAACACCAAAATTAATCTTTTGATCTCTCCAACTCAACCACCCCGAACAACGCACGAGGCCAGACCGCCACGCAGATCCCTAACTTCGCGCTGTCTTCTATTCACCTCCTCGTCCAATTCCCTGACCCAGGGAAGTCCTTAAGATTAGAAACATGAGGTTGTAAAAAATGTTACGCGTTACCAGCTGTTATGCTCCATAGCCATTAGTTCCTCAATAACCACATTTCCAGAACCTTACTTTGGTATAATGTTACCCGCCAACGCCGTTTGACGTGGTAAAGAACACCTTGGCCCCTACATTTTTGAAAGCAAATACTTCAAAGCAATGCAACATGAATGTTTTCATAAGGAAGACTACTCTAATAGTAGCATGATATTCCTAAATAACGTGGTTTTTCTTTGCAGGGATACAACGAAGATTGAGGCCCTTAACCCATCCGTCCCCACCGTTGGTGGTGCCTGACTGTCTCCACGAAGACAGTCCTCCAGGAGGTCCACACGCTCCAATGCAACTCAAGCCATCTCCCACTGCACCTGAACATTTGTGCTTCGAGGGGCAGGTATTTGGAATGGAAAATACTCAAACAACTTTCCACAACGCTGTTTGCCCTGTTATTTGGCCTGAATTGTATGCTTTGCATTTAGACTACCCAAAATGCATGGCAAATACTCTGATGTTCCTTCAAAGAGTGATGCTTGGACTGGGAACCAAAACCCTCTCACCTAAGCTATTAACGCTACGAAACGCTCTATTGGATTAGACCTTAGTCAAGATAGTCATCAGCTATCAGATAGAACTTGGCACTTAAAAAAGTTGCACTGTTAAATATTATGACAAAAGTTTGTTACTATGGGGACACTGTTATAACTCTGTTAATTGTTGAGAGCAAAGTACAATGTTTGTTTTTTTAAAGTACTCTTCTTCATAGTGGTCATTATAGATTTTAAAAGTTTACAATTGGTGTGTTGTGCACTGCTGTTTTTATTAAGATAAGGGTTTTTAGTACTTAAAAAGCACTGTTTGTTGGCACTTGAAAATAAATGTTATATTGCAACTGAATCAATTTGTGTTTTTAATGCATTCTTTTTGGAGATTGTTGGGAGTTTACACAACGTGTTTAGAGATTTGTTGTAGTACAATTATCTTAGTTAGCAGGAATTAGTTTGTTTAATTTAATAGTAAACCTTAGAAATTACGAGTTAGTCAAATTTAAAAGGGTTAAGTTCTGGTGATTTGTATATTTAAGTTTAATTTGTTCATTGAGTTCACACAAATACAAAAAAATTGGTTAATACAAAGCATGCCTTTTAAGTTTACATAACTTAGTTTACATAAGTTTACGTAACTTAGTTTACATAAGTTTACACAATTTAGTTTACATAAGTTTACACAACTTAGTTTATATAAGTTTACATAACTTAGTTTACATAAGTTTACACAATTTAGTTTACATAAGTTTACATAACTTAAAAGGTTTTTGTCAACTGTACTTCTCAAAATCAATTGAAGCACACCTAGAATACACAAGTTGTTCGTACTCACAATAAGTAAGTTAACTTAACTTACTTATTGAAACGAGTTTTGCATACTTTTTCTAAGTTACCACAACTTATTAAGTTTTACAGTGTGTGATAGGCCTACAGGTATTCCATTTTACATTTATAGTGTAACATTATTACCAGTGTTGGGACTAACGCGTTACTGTAACTACTTTTTGCGGTAACTAATAGCGTTACTAGTTACCTATTCCCATTAAGTAACGCCGTTATAGTTACTGTGATTTAAATGGGTGCGTTACATTATGTGATGGAACTGAACCAAATCTCCCTGCAGATGTAACTTACAGGGGAATACAGCGATGTCCTCTCACAGCACCATTGAAAAGTGAAAGTAACCAGAGAGGAGTGATGATTGGTTAACGCGGGGTAACATTTCAGGGTAAGCCAATCAGAGACAGAGTTGGGCGGGTCTTGCCTTATGGGGAACATACACATACACACAAACACTTGCTAATGCTAACACACACACACGGCAACGCTCACCACCACCAGCACACACACACACAATGGCAGATGCAAGTATCAGCGAGAGCAGCAGCGCATTTACAACTTGGAGATATAACCACTATTTTCAATTTGTGGGGATAAAGGTCGCAAAACATATTACGGTAAAATGTAAACTGTGTGCAGGACAGAAAGCATTGTCCACATCAAATAACAGCAATGCCAATCTCCTGAAGCACCTAACTAATGTACATGGGGCTATAAAACTAGTCGCCAAAGACCCCACCGTCTCAACCACCGACAGTGACCCAGATGGAGCAACACCATCTAAACAGCCAAAAAACGATTCTTTCAAATCGCCACATGTCACCCAGAGTCAACTAAATAGATTGATTGCCAGGTATGTTGTTGAGGACATGCTGCCCATCGCAACGGTCAAGTCTGTTGCCTTCAGAGAACTAGTCAGCAAAAAACAACACGAAAACTTGTATTTTTATTGTTATTATTTTTAAAGTAAAGTAAAGTAACTTGTTACTAGTTACTTTTATAATTTAGTAACTAATAAAGTAACTAGTTACTTTTTTGAGAGAAGTAACTATAACTATTACTAGTTACTTTTTAAAAGTAACTTGCCCAACACTGATTATTACATATCAGTTGGCTCTAAATCTCCCTATCCTAATATTTATACTGTTCCTGTTACAGTCAAAGTGTGATTGTTCCTCAGAGTACTTTATTAAATCTTTCTTTCTTTATATACAGTATATAAATCCAGTTTAATTTCCTACTCTCCTCTTTTAGTTCATAGCCCTTTGGTCCCCGGGATGCAATTAGAAACCTTAAGGATTCAACTGATTGCTCTTTAATTAGCTCTCCTGAATCTGTTGCTTGTTAAATGAGCCAATAGAATATATAGTCACTACTTGAGCCTTCGATTGCCACTCAGAGTGGCTGGCCAAGACAATAGATGCCTGACTCTCGGGTTAGTGACAATTGTTTGTGATAACTCACCCACAGCACAAGGGCCTAAGTGGTACACTTAACCTTTTACTTCCCCTTAGAGAGCTTGTCTCCTGTGTATTAACCTAGATTAGTATTGAATTAGCGGCGAGTAGTAAGGAAATATTCAATGGTCTGCCATGGAATACATTTCCGATCCCTTTTACATAGACACATGTAAATCCTCTCCATACATCTTTTAGTGGATGAGCTAAAAGGCTTTCCAACTGATCAAGCAAGCGAGACAATTGAGTCAAGTGCTAGAAAGAATAATTGCACGATGCAGGTTAAAGCCAACAGTCTGAAAATGATGGATGGTGTTTCTCTCTTTTTTAAAACAGCACTAAGAGCCTACGGTTCAGAAATTGCTAATGAACAGTAGGAAAAAATAATGAGTGCTGCATCAATCTGCTCTCTACCTACAACCCCATCATGTTAATCACGGTGCTCACATTAATGTCCTCCGCTCGCACATTTCACCACCTTGCTTTGTGAAAGTTAGCAAATCTATTTCTGCCACGCAAATCCAATAGAGCATAGTATGCCGGGTGATTGAGATAGATTTGAAAGGGTATGAAGGATGAGAGCGAAAACTAATAACCACCTCACAGGGGATACACTGAGAGTTATTGACTATATTATTTATTTATTTCGTTAAATCATGCATGCACCATAACTGACTTTGAGGCATTACTTCCATATGTCACAAATGTTCTCTTTATTGGACAGGACTCACGTCGTCTTTCCAAGTTCACATTATATCTTTGGGTCTATTTAATCATGCAAATGTGGCACACTTGGATGGATGAACCTGGCTGTTTTGTTTTGTATTATTCGCTGCCTCCTGGCAAGTATGAGGACAGACTAACTACGATTCTGCCTGTGAGCTGCTTCAAACATTATTTGGATTTACTCAAGACTCGTAAAAGCTTCCCCTGGGCTGTAGCCCCAATGGTTGTAATCTTGACCATTGTATAGCAATCCACCATCAATTCCCTAGATGAATTTGTGCCATTTGTGAGGAATAAAACAAAACCATAATTGAAACTTAAAGTGGACCTATCATGCTATATTTGAAAAATATAGTGTAGGACCAGTGGCGGCCGGCCCATAGGGGTGCTAGGGGCGCCGCCCCACTTCTTCCCAC